CCTGAGGTGTAAGTGCTATGTGAGAAGCCCAGACGCTCAGGCCAGGCTTACTGACCCCTGGCTTAAAATGTGGGTGAGAAATGTCACTGGAGCTTTATTTTCTTGCATGTTCCAGCGGGACAGATCTTGGACTGGATAAGAAATTTCTATTGGCGAAAGTCTGTCAATGGTGGTGCTTTTATAATACCGATACTGATGTTGTATAAAGTCTACAAATCTATGTTCTTTTGGAATCACTGAAAATGTAAGTATGGCATGCAAATATTTTTAAACTAAGCTACTGGATATGCATTTTAAGGGTAACTATACTTAGAAAAAAATAATATATTAACATAATTTGAAAACCAGTGCATAGCTATTGTAAATATTCTTACCCTAAAATTAATTTTATCTTCTGTTCCTATTATAGGTATCATATTTTATCAGGAATTCCTTGGTGCAGCTTTTCTCACTGTATTTATATATCTTTTTGGGTGAGTAAATGTCTCAGAGGTAAACTATGTGGAATCCTATTACTTTTATGTGGGATTTTTGGCATTATACCTGAGGCATGGAAAATTGGAAAATAATATCAGAAACATCAGTTTCCTGAGTTCCTAAAAGAAACATATTTTTCAGCTTAACACCCTACCCAGGGCTCAATGTCCTTGACTTTGTGATTTAAGTATCTCTCTTAAGAGGGTTCTGAAACATTGGGGATTTTCAGTTCCAGCCGAAGTCAAGGTAAACCCACTCACTGGCCCTCGTAGCAACTCCACCTCTTCGTACTCCATCAGACCTACCCCACCCTTGCGAACCCCTAGGTTAGGGAACCACAGACACCTCTAGGATCACCGAGAATACAAGGCCAAGACTGGAGCAGATCACTACCTGTGGACCTAATAACATAAGATTGGTCTCTCTTGTGTCTGGGTGCCTAGAGATTTGAGGGGCAGTTGCTGCTGGCATTCTTGTAAACAGAGAGCAGAGCTTGGACAGAATATCGCTAACGTATTGGCTTTTCCGTTGGCCCCAGCTGGCACTCCATTACTGCTTAGCTGCTGCTTCGTGTGGTATTCTGCATGACCATTGCTGTGCAAACTTGAGGCCAGACTATTTTCAACATAAAAACCCATCTATCTTGAAAATTCAATTTCATAAGATTTTTGGGTGAGGCTAAACTTCTGGGGTCTGGAAACTATGACTGTTCTTATGGCCAAGGACAACAAAATTTCTTAGAAAATTAAAGCATAAATTATTTTTTGCTCGTGTTGCATGCCAGTAATGGATCTGGGCATGCATGGATAGAAAATGAGACCTAGCATCTACCCAAAGGGTTTAGAGCCCAAATTAGCCTCCAGATGGTAAAAACCTGGGGCAGAGATTTATTGGAAGCTGCCCAGGTTGTGGTTCTGGGGACAAATATTACTGGCTGCAGTAATTAAGACAAGTTCTAGGCATCTTACCATGAGAAACAGGAAGGAAAAAAAAAACGGTGGAATTTATGTCATCATGCAGAATATGGAGGTCAGTTATTTAATACCATGTGCTGTTTCAGTAATCTTGTGTTCTTTATTAACATTATTCTTACAGGTGTTTTCTGTCATTCCTTGGTGTATTTTTGGTCACAAGAAATCGAGAAAAGGAACATCTGCCACAGTCTTACATTGATTTTGGAAATGTTCCTGGTAAAGCTATACATTCCTTAATTTTATAACAGAAAATTTTATCTTTATAAATTAATTGTTGGTATGATGGGGGCTGTTAATATAAAACAATCCTTATTGTCAGAAATTGGACATTAATGATGAAACCAGAGGTGTAAGTGTTAATAATCATTGTCTGAATATCAGTTTTGCACAGAACACTGGGGACGTAAAAAAACTGCCCCTGTTTTCTTGATTTGCATGATGTGGTAAATATCCTTCTTAGGTTTCCTTACACTGGAAGAGGGTAGGGGAAGGAGTGGGAATAGCTACCAGCAGCAGACCCTGGAGGGGACAGCTAAGGACAGAAGGCGAGGCTGCGGAGGGACAGCATTCCTTGGGAAGACAGCTGGCCTGTGCACTGGGGCCACGGGTGACGTCTGCAGTCACCCGCACGTAGAGCCTCCTCCCCTACCTCATTCATCCTGAGCACTTCCACACGCATCATCTTCCCTGTTCTCCACTCTCTCTCAGAATGACCCGCTTCCGTCAGGTAGACAGCGGAAGCTGTGTCCTCACCTCCGCCCTGCTCACCATGCCAGCAATCTCCGGCTTTGCTAGGGCTTTGGGGGGCCCCACAGGTTTCTAGACAAGGAGTAGTGATGTTCTCTCAGCGTCTGCCACTGCTCTGTTAGGACCAAGCCTTTGAAGTAAAAACCATTAAAGCTTCATCCCAATGACTGAGAAAATATTGCCCTGTGAATTCTGTGTTCTCCTCCCCACTCGAGCCATCCAATCAGCCACAAGCGCTCAGTGCAGGAATGGGCCTTCGCAGCAAGGGTGTGCGTTAGAGATGCCTTGTGTGGTCAGGCTTTCTTTGATAGGAAATTAAGTTGACTTATCTTTAACTCTATTTTTCATTTCATAAAGCACCACACGTAGGATCAGTAACATCTGTAGAAGCCACTATGAAAGACCTTCTCTGTTGTTACATGCACTAGACTAAACATGGAAAAGGAGACGGAGTGCTGGGGAAAAGGGTTGGATGAGCGGATGCTTCATGTCAATCTCCTGACTGCTCCGACCTGGTTTCCATGCCCAGCATGGCAAACCTGGGTGGGGAGATGGCTCAGCCACGTGGAAGCTTGATTACACACCAAGGGACATGGAGTTCCACTGGGCTTTCTTCCCCAGCATTGATCTCTTCTATTTAGAGGGTGGCCACATAGTATAAAAAAGAGAAAGAGAATAAAAATATGGCCTAGATAGAGGAGACATTATTAAGATTTATTCCACTGTAAGAGCACAAAAGATTTTTTGTGATTATTATCTCCACAGGGAAGCAAATGTTGGACAAAATACAACCAGATTCAAATGGCTTATCCTATGGAACTTTGCCTGATGGAAGTGACTCAACAAAGAACCCAAGTGGAGAGAAGAAAGAGGTCTGAAGTGCTGAGAGGGACGGCGGCTGGCCTGTTACTCGAGACCACCTTTTAAAAAACTGCACGTGTTAAGTCTGTGTCAGCAGCTATTTCGTGCTGACATGTGCTAGCATTGGTTTCAGTCCTTCACCCCCTCCCCCTGCCTGTGCACGGTCAGGGCCTTCCTAAGCTCTGACAGTCTAATGTTTTCGTGGAATGTAATCTCAAGTGTTCCCCGCACCCGGGACCTCTCCCTGGTGATCATCTAACGGGCTAGATCTTAATTGTAGAGCCTGGCTGCCCAAGCAGGAGTGTCACACAAAAATGTGCGTTCACGATGCGGCTTCAGAACACATGGGCTGCTTTTCCCACACAGCTTGTGACGTCAGATGCTTCGCTTTAAAGAGACACATTAGCCCTACGACCTCACTCCTAAGCCAGAGGTTCAAGAGCATTCATCCTTCCTAAGACATCTTTTATGAACCTCCCCATAAAGCTTTCACCTTTCTGTTCCCAACTTACAATGGTGATTCGCCTTTTCTGAAAACTAGCCCCTATCATGAACGTCCTTTGAAAATTAAGAGTGTCTTTAAAATTAGAATTTATAACTGGCATTCTGCTGGGGTATGCCAAAACCAGAAGACTTGGCTAGTGGGCTTCTTTCAGCTTAAGAAAGGAAAAATTTAACAACGGTAAAAAAAAAAAAAAGGTAAATTTTTTGTCATAAAAATACAGAATGGTGACGTTTTCTTCAGCTATGTGATCCTATTATACTTGAAACTCAAGAGAAATCTCATGTCCTGTGCCTTTATTTTGTTTAGATCATATAATTTATCAGGTGGGTTTTTATGTTTTAACTTTGAACTTAAGTCTCAAAAATCATGTTGAAATTCTTAGTGATAGTTTCACTAACACACTGTTTCTTCCCTAAGTCATTACGTCAAGCTTTGTAACAAAATTCTTCTAAGTAAAAGTACAGTTACGCTTAGAGAGCTGGGCTTCAGCCAGTTAAATCTGCAGACGCAGAACGTGGCCAGGTGGTCCAGCCCGAGTCCAGGGAGGGAGCCCAGGTCCTCCCGTACCCTGAATAGCTCTGCGGCAGCAGTCACGTGTCTGCTAAGCTGCACTTGGAGGTAGAGTTCATCATCATATCTGCATTATGAATAATCCCCTAATAGTTAGAAGAAAAGAGCTAGGCTTCATTGTAACCAACATCAAATAATCAGCCCCATCCGCAATGACATTCCAGAGCCCTCAGGTCACCACTGACGTGCCAGTCCAGCGGTACTCCAGCTAGTGGCCTTGCATTTGTTTGGTTGTTTAATCCAGGGCTATTCAAACTGTCATCTTAACTGCTTCAGGTCTTTTAGCTTTGTTCTCTGTCATGACCTACCCCCCTGACCAGACCCACCAAACCGGGGCACAAAGGTGAGACTTGAATCCATCACCAGTGTATGAATAGTAACCTAGACCCCAAGTCTGGCTTTTGAACTCCTGGTAACAATCCCTGCCATTGTGGAAAAGTGTCTCATTAATTCAAATAAAACAGTCATAATTTACAGCATGTTTTACTGAATTGGTCCAACATATTGGCACTGGAAGGCTCAGCTAAGAAGTATGTCTGGCGTCTTTAACTACAGATTCCTGGTGACTCTTTAAAACTGGTTTCAAAGATTTGGAAAATAACTAGGCAGAAGGGTTTTACCTGAAGTAGGACTACATTTAAAGCTACAGCACGTGGTTTTGTGCACTGTAGAATTTTGCAGACATAAGCACAATGCCAAAACTTTAGTGGGTGCCAACATTTGCATCTCTTAAAAGTTTTGAGAAATGACATTGACTTATGCACATTTACATAATCGAACAGTGCTTTAGAAGTCCAGGTAACATCTAAAATACATTCAGACCTAACTTTACTTTCCATATTGCCTCTACAGAGTAAGGTGAATAGGAGTTTTACTTGTACCGGCTTGTAAAGATTTTTTAAATTACGCAGCACATGACAACAGCTAAAGCCAGCCCAGTACTTCTCTTGGCATTGTGAGTTGGGGACCTTTAGCCAACACTTGGCTCATCTGACTGTCTAGACGAGGGGTCTGCAAACTTTTCCTGTAACGACACAGAGAGTGAATCTTTGGAGGGTTGTTGGCCATACAGTGTCTGTCACAACCATTCAGCTCTGCCGTTGTAGCATGAAGGCAGCCAGAGACAACACGTAAACAAATGAGCATGGCTGGTGCCGGTAAAGCTTTGTTTACCAAAGCGGGTGGCCGGTCCGTGGGCCATATAGTTTTCCAACCTTTGGTCTTGACTCCGCTGCCCTTGCTGTGTAAATTCCTTTTTGTTCCTTGGGCATTCAAGAGTTTACAAAACAATAAACAAATGGGACCTAATTAAACTTACAAGCTTTTGCACAGCAAAGGAAACCATAAGCAAAACAAAACAACAACCTACAGAATGGGAGAAAATTTTTGCAAAAGATGAAACTGACAAGGGCTTGATCTCCAGAATATATAAGCAGCTCATACGACTTAATAAGAAAAAAACAAACAACCCAATCCAAAAATGGGCAGTAGACCTAAACAAGCAATTCTCCAGTGAAGACAAACAAATGACCAATAGACACATGAAAAAATGCTCAATATCACTAATCATCAGAGAAATGCAAATCAAAACTATAATGAGGTGTCACCTCATACCAGTCAGAATGGCCATCATTCCACAAATGACAAATGCTGGAGAGGGTGTGGAGAAAAGGGAACCCTCCTACGCTGTTGGTTGGCAGTTTGGTGCAGCCACTGTGGAAAACAGGAT